GTATAAATATAAAACAATTTCTTAAATGTAAATATTTATTTGAGCATTTATTTATTTTTATCTTTTTCAATTTTAAGCTGTTTCTTTATTCAATATAATTTATCTTTTATTTCAAAATATTATACCGCTAATACTTGTACACTTAACCTATTGAAATACCTTCTTGTGATACTGTCATATCTGACATAATATTACTAGTTGAATTAGATGATAATGTAATATCATCTAAAATTGTAATTCCTTTTCTTTTATAAGACTACTTTAATATAATACCTTTGTTTATAGCAGCATAAGTTTTTCTAGTATCTTTAAATATTGTAGAAAATTTTGCATTAATAATAGAACGAAGAAACTTCACATTATTTTTATCATGAAATCCTAAAAGATTAAGCATAGATATTCTTCCCTCCTCATGTAAATGCATGATTAAACTTGTAAAATATCTGGTTTTTGTGATAAATATTGAATATTAATAAAGATTTTATCCCTATCATAATCTTTCCAATAAAAAGTCAAAGAATCATCTATATTCTTTTCAATTGATAATTTGATAAAAGAATTATAAATTTTTGTAAAAATGGTATATTCAGGAAGAATAAGAACCTATGTTCTATCTTCATATTCAGATTCACATCTATTAACTTTAATATTCAAGTAACCACTAGTTGCAAAGTTTTCTCCTAAACTAACTTCAGCATATAAAGGTAAAATTTCGTATTTTTTAGTATTATCGTGAACTATAATACTTCTATTTTCACGTTTAAACAAATAATATTTGTTTGGATCATTTATTAAAAGTCTTTTTGACTAGTGACAAGTCATTTTATCTAAAAAAAATAAGTTAAGAAGAAAATTTAAAATGTTATGCAATGTAAAATTTAATTGTGACTAGATAATTCGCAACTTATATAAGGTGATTCGCAACTTATTTCTGACTTTTACTGAAGTTTTTGAACTAAAAACCTATTATAAGTACTCATTTTAAAGTAATAAAAGGGCTCATCAGGTTTCAACATGTCAGGTTTACATTTTTAATTTTTTATTTTCTATTAAATTTAAAAACTTTGATAAGTAATTTTTATTTAATCTCCTAAAAAAAAATTTTAATCATATGATCAGCATGTCGATCACCTCTACTCTTAACAGTCATGAGATATGTCTTTCTTGATGATCTTGATAGTAATTAATTTTTGTATAATATATAATGCTATGACTTTCTTGTATA